CGTGGCCATCTTCCTTGGAGGATGATTTTTTGCTTTCTGTCTCTCCAGCGAGCATGTGCACCCTATAACAAAAATATCTCTTTAGGGAACCAGCAGTTAACATAATGGCTATGTCGCTGGACGCCCATGTAGTCGACCGCGGTTCGTGTCCCGGATCCGGTGGCTTAAAACTCACGCCGGGCGCATGTGCGTGCGTGCCCAAGATCCCGAGAGGAGAATGGAGGAGAAGGGATTGCGGCGTGACCATCCCCCCTGGGGGGTGATTTCTCGCTTTCTGTCTCTATGTCTCTCTCTGTCTGTCTGGCGAGCACACGCGCCCTATAGCGAAAATCTCTCCAAAAAAAAAAAAAAAAAAAACTCTTTAAAATAAATAAATAAATAAATAAATAGCAGGGGCCAGAAGTGGTGCAGTGGTTAAGACACTGGATTCCCACATGACTGACCACGGTTCAAGTCCTGAACCTGGGGACCTGAAAATCACACCAGGTGTCTGTGCATGCATGCTCAAAATCCTGAGGGGAGGACTGAGGAGAAGGGGCTATGGTGTGGCCATGGTCCATTGAGAGTGATTTCTGACTTTGCTCTCTCTCTCTCTCTCCAGGGAGCACACATGCCCTATGGCAAAAACCTAAAATAAACAAACTAAATAACAGATTTTTAAAAATAATTAAATAGAATTTCTAGAAATTAAAAATGTAAAAACAGGGATCAGCAGATGGTGTAATGGTTACATTGCTGAACTTCTACATAGTCGACTGTGGATCGAGTCCCAGACCCAGAGGCTTAAAACGCAAGCCAGGCACGTGTGGATGTGTGCCCAAAACCCTGCGAGGAGAATGGAACAGAAGGGATTGTGGTGTGAGAGGAGAATGGAACAGAAGGGATTGTGGTGTGGCCATCCCCCCCCGAGGGTGATTTCTCGCTTTCTGTCTCTCTGGCAAATGCATGTACTCTATAGCAAAAATCTGTCCAAGAGGAAAAAAAAGAAAAATGTAAAAATGAAAGATGGTTTAACAGCAGATCACACATAGCTGAAAAGAGTAATAGTGGAAAGAGAAAATAAATCATAATAAAGTCTTATAATACAGCACAGAGGCCAAAAAAAAAAAATAGAAAAGACGCAAAAAAACACGAAGGATGAAACAAGAAGGCGCAAACCCACTGCACCAGGCCAGCCGTGGTGGCGCAGAGTGACCCACTGCAATGCTGAGGCCACGTGGAAGGGCCCGGGCCTGCACCCCTCTGCTGGTACACCCTGGTGCTCGCATGCCCTCCGTCCTTTGCTGGTTGAGGCTCACGACTGTGGCATGAAAGCCCAGGTAGACCCCCAGGGTGCCCCCCTGCCCCCATCCCATCCCCCTCTCTCTCAGAAGAAATACGTAAACACATCTAATTGGAGTACCAGAGGAAGAACACAGTTATGAAGAAAGTGCAGTATCCGACGAGGTAAGAGCTGGCAATTTTCAAGAACTGATGGAAAATTCCAAACTACAGTTTTAAGTGCAATGAGGGACCAGCAGATGATGTAATGGTTACGTCACTGGACTCCCATGTAGTCGACAGTGGTTTGAGTCCCAGACCCGGTGGCTTAAACTCACACCAGGCGAGTGTGCATGCGTGCCCAAGAACCCAAGAAGAGAATGGAGAAGAAGGGACTGAAGTGTGGCCATGCCCCCTAGGGGGTGATTTCTCACTTTCTGTCTCTCTGTCTCTCTGTCTTTCTGGCGAGTGCACAAGCCCTGCCTTCCGGCCGAGTGCCCAAGCCCTATAGCAAAAACAAACAAAACAAACAAACAAACACTCTCCAAAAAAAAATGAATGAATAAATAAAATTAAATAAAAAAATAATCTTTAAAAGAAAGACTTTCGTTAAAAAAAACAACTGGTTGTTCAGAGAAAATTATTCCTAAAGGAAATAATACTTAGTAATGATGAAAACCAGCTGTGGAATCCTCAGACTATACAGAGACATGGTTTATAGGACCAACGTATAATTCTGCAAAAATTACTTAATGGGGAAAAAACAAGAAATACTGACATAACACATCCCAGGGGCATGACTCAACCCAGACTAAAAAAAAACTGTTGGGGGAACCAGTAGTTAGCGTAATGGCTATGTCGCTGGATTCCCACGTAGTCGACCGCGGTTCACGTCCCGGACCCGGTGGCTTAGAACTCACACCGGGCGCGTGTGCGTGCGTACCTAAGATCGATCCCGAGAGGAGAATGGAGGAGAAGGGATTGCGGCGTGACCATCCCCCCTGGGGGGTGATTTCTCGCTTTCTGTCTCTATGTCTCTCTCTGTCTGGCGAGCGCACGCGCCCTATAGCAAAAAAACCTCTCAAAAAAAAAAAAAACTGTTGGGAAATGGATGGTCTAAATGAATGTTAGAAGATATTTATTGTTTCTTTTTTTCAGAGATTTTTGCTATAGGGCATGTATGCTCACCGGAGAGACAGAGAGACAGAAAGCAAGAAATAATCCCCTAAGGAGTAGGCCACACCGCAATCCCTTCTCCATTCTCTTCTTGGGATCTTGAGCACACATGCACATGCACCCAGCATGAGTTTTAAGCTGCCATGTCTAGGACTCGAATTGCAGAGGACTACATGGGAATCCAACAATGTAACCATTATGCCATCTGCTGGTCCCTAGAAAATCTTTAACATGTAAGTGTTTGGCTTAGGCAACCTTCTGAAAGCACTGACTCAGATTTTCCCTAACAAGTACTTAGGTGCCGCTGTTCTTTGTGGGTGGACAGGTACAGAGCCACATACTAAACTTCTGCTAAGCGAGGGCAGGATTGTAGGCTTTGTGAAGACTGAGGAGTCAGACATCATTCCTTCTCGATGCACAGCAGTGTCCCTTAACAGTCTCGTTACTCTACAGAGGAGAGGGCACAGCTGCATTCTAGAAGTGGCCCTTACTCTGCAGTAAGATGTAGTTGACTTGGGACGACCAATCAGGTTGGCAGAAAGGAGTCACAGATGCCTATAGAGCTCTAAATGAGTGGTAACAGAGGTACCACAATAAAAAAAATTAGGCAGACAAATTTCAAAGGAAACAGAACAGTTGCTTTAAACAAAATGCTTCAATGTGAGTATTTCAGTGGAAATGTCTAGCAGGAAAACGTTCAGAAAGGGATTAGAGATGGAATGAATTTAGAAATCTGGACACAGAGGTAATAACTGAAGTCGCTGAATAGTCTTAGCTTCCAAACTACTGAGGTCCCTTTTCCTCAAACTACTGCCGCAATAGCACCAAAAGAACAGCCCCCACCACAAGATACACCTTCTGAAAGACATACACGCAGCTGCGGGGCAAAAACGGTGTGCTTCTTCCAGCACAGAGCGTCAAGAGGGTGCATGTCTGAGTCAGAAAGATAAACGCACAGATCTAAATCACATCACTGGAAATCAGAAAAGGGGCCAGCAGGTGGCGGAGCGGTTAAGGTGCTGGACTTCCACATGGCTGACAGCAGCTCTAGTCCCGGACCCAGAGGCTTGAAACTCACTCTGGGAACAAAATCCCAAGAGGAGAGTGGAGAGGGGATTGCTGTGTGGCCACCCTGCCTGGGGGTGATTGCTCACTTTCTGTCTCTGTCTCTCCAGCAAGTGCACTACCCTACAGCAAAACTCTTTCTCAAAAAAAAAAAAAAAAATAGAGGGACCAGCAGTTAGTGTAATGGCTGTGTCACTGGACTCCCATGTAGTCAACCGCGGTTTGAGTCCCAGAACCAGTGGCTTAAACTCACGCCAGGCATGTGTGTGTGTGTGCCCAAGATCCCGAGAGGAGAATGGAGGAGAATGGATTGTGCCGTGGCCATCCCCCCGGGGGGTGATTTCTCGCTTTCTGTCTCTCTGTCTCTCTCTGTCTTTCTGGTGAGCACAAGCGCCCTATAGCAAAAACCTCTCCAAAAAATAAAAAAAAAAAATAGAAATCAGAGCAAAATTGACTGCACTGCTTCTGTCCAGAAGGGGACAGTACTTACTCACAAGTAAATGGTATGTACTCTCCATTTCATATTTAAGGATACACAGATACATCCTGTTTCCATGATTAAGAATTATATTTATAAAACATACATATATGTAAAAGATAAATGTTTATAAAAATAAATAAATATACATATATTTTAAAGTTTTTTGCCATAGGGTACAAGTACTAGCCAGAGAGAGACAGAGAGGGAAAGTGAGAAATCGCCCTGCAGGTGGCATGGCCATGCCACAATCCCTTCCCCTCTATCCTCCTCCTGGGATTCTGGGCACACACGCACTTGATGTGATGTTTAAGCGGCCAGGTCCATGTGAGAGTCCAGTGCCTTAACCTCACACCGGGCGCATGTGTGTGCGTGCTCAAGATCCCTAGAGGAGAACAGAGAAGGGATTGTGGCATGGCCATCCCCCCGGGGGATTTCTCACTTTCTGTCTCTGTCTCGCTCTGTCTTTCTGGCGAGCACACATGGCCTTTAGCAAAAACCTCTCCAAAAGAAAGAAAGAAAAAAGAAAAACTCCCTAAGAATTATGACCTGGGCCAGAAGGTGACATGGGAGTTAAGGCAGCTGGATCCCACATGACCAACTGTGCAGCTCAAGCCCCAGACCCTGTGGCTTGAAGAAATGCTGCAGGTGTTTGCTTGCCCGAAATCCCGAGAGGAGGATGGGAAAGGACTGCAGCGTGGCCATCCTGCCGGGGTGTTTTCTCCCGCCCACCCCTGGCTTCCTCCAGTGAACACACATACCCTATAGCAAATAAAACACACAAAAAATAATTTGACTCATTGGGAGCAGTGACGTATCTTCCATCTTGGAGTGGCCAAAGCCATCCTCTTGTGATGGAAAAAAAAGTTTCTTCCTCAAAAGTAAATCAGGACTAGGGACATCCCACAGGGTTCCTGAGAGGCAGTCCCTAAATAAATAGAGGGGAGTTAAACCCAGGGATTGTGGTAGCTTCCAAATAAACTGACAGGGAAGTACATAAACACACATAACGTGAACTTACTCTTTTCAATGAGCTGGTCCTGAACGCCTGCCAGTGCACTTACTGCCTGAAAGAAAAGCCACCAGTTACTAGAAAGTGACCTCAGGCTTCAGGAGAGCACCCTCAGAGGCAGGAGGGAGGAGAGAAAGCTACATTCCTCGGCCATGGGCCACAGAGAGATCCCCCAACCACCACCGCCACCGCCACCACTTACAGCTGCTGACGTAACTGAGGATTTACTGAAGAGCCGCTCAGCTTCCTTAAACTTCCGGTTCCTGCGGTCATTCTTGCTGTTGGAGTTTCTAAAACACACAGAGGAAGCTCATGTGCACCAAGCTATGTCTGTGGCTGAAGCTGGAATGCCCCAGGACGTCAGACACTTTTTGCTTGACTAAGCTCCACAGAGGAGTGCCTCTGCATCACCTGGATTGGCCTCATGCTGAATGCTTGTACGGATGGCAACGCATGGCCTGTGTCCCGCTGTGGATGTGAGACTCTTAGCTGCCTCGCATCTTCACTGTAATCTATTTTAATGCAGAGTATTAAAATGACTAGCATAGAGTAGTAATATAAAGCGTCTCTGTTAAATAAATTTAATTTTTAAATTTAAAGGCAGAACCAGGATGTCCTACAGCACAGAGTTTAAAGGGGCCAGATCCCACATGGCCAACCACAGTTCAAATCCTGGTCTTAGCAGTTTGAAAAACATGCCAAGTATGTGTTCATGTAAGCTCAAAATCATGACAGGGGAGCCAGCAGGTGATATGGTGGTTAAGACGCTGGATTCCCAAATGGCCAACCACAGTTTGAGTTCCAGACACAGTGGCTTAAAAATCACTGGGGGTGGCAGGTGACACGGTTGTTAAAGGCGCCAGATTCCCACATGGCCGACCACAGTTCGATTTCTGGACCTGGTGGCTTGCTTTCTCACTTTCCCTCTTTCTCTCTTTCTCTTTCATTCTGTCCCTTTCTGATCAAATTAAACAAATAAATAAAGTTAAATAAAAAATAATTCTTAAAAAAAAATTACACTGGGCACATGTGTGTTCAAGCCCAAAATTCTGAGAGGAGAAAGGAGAAGGGATAGCGGTGTGGCCACATGTTGGTGAGGGGTAAATTTCTCACTTTCCCCTCTACTGTCTCTCTCTGGTGAGCACACACACCCTATGCTAAAACCAAAAAAAAATAAAATAAATAAAATAAAATCATGACAGAATGAAGAAATGGAGAAGGGATTGCAGCATGACCACACCCCCTGGGAGGTGCTTTCTGTCTGGTGACTGCGAGAATTCTCTGGCAATTAACAAGAAGGAAAGAATCAGGATTCCTCCCTCACAGAAATGACTGACAGCAGGTCTGGGCAAGAGATTGACTAAAGTGGGGCTGGAAGGTGTCACAGTGGTTAAAGGCACTGGACTCCCACATGGCCAACCATGGTTTGAGTCTGGATCTGGTGGCATTCTCTCTTTCTCTCTGGTCAAATTAAAAAATAATGATAAAATTAAATAATTTTTTTAAAAATGACAAAAGGACACCTTTTGGCAATAACGCACTCTAAGACTAGTAGGGTCACATCAACAGGCCAAGGAACCAGCCTGAGGAGGCTGCTCTGACCACACTGGGGCTAATGAGGGGTGTGCTTACTTCGTGAAGTCACTTAGCTGTATACTTAAAATGTATATGTGTGCGGGCTGGCAGGTGGCTTGTGGTTAAGGTGCTGGACACTCTCACATGGCTGACCATGGTTTGAATCCTGGACCTGGTGACTGGCTTTCTCACTTTCCTTCTCTTTCTCTCTCTCTTTCTGGTCAAATTAAAAAAAAAAAATGATTGAATAAATAAAATTAAATAAGTAATTCTTTTTTTTTTTAATTATATACATCTGTGTGTATTTCTTTTCTTTTTGTGGGTGTGTGCTTGCCAGAGAGAGAGAGAGAAAGCAAGCAATCACCCCCAGGGGATGGCCACGATGCAATCCCATCTCCTCCATTCTCCTCCTGGGATCTTGGACATGCACACACACACACCTAGTGTGAGTTTGAAGCCGCTAGGACAGGACTTGAACCATGGTCAGCCAAGTGGGAGTCCAGCACCATAATTGCTATACCATCTGCTGGTATGTACTTCAATATAGAGCTATCACTATTGTTTAAAAAGTGACAGATCCCTACAGCAGGTGGTGTGATGGTTAAGGTGCTGGACTCCCACATGGATGACCATGGTTCAAGTCCCAGGCCTGGTGGCTTGCTTTCTCACTTTCCTTTCTCTCTCTCTGGTCAAATTTTAAAAATAATAAATAAAATTAAATAAATAATTCTTTTAAAAAAAGTGACAGATCCCAACATTGATTTTTTTTCTTTGCACTATGGGGCATGTACCCTCACCAGAGAGAGATAGAGAGAAAGGGACAGAGAGAAGGAAAGTGAGAAATCACTTCACCTCCCCAGGGTGGGGGCACACAACCCCTTCTCCAGTCTCTCCTTGGGATTTTGGGCATGCACACACACCCGCTGCATGCTTTTCAAGCTGCCAGGTCCAGGACAAACTACAGTTCGTCATGTGAGAGTCCAGAGTCTTATCCACCACACTACCAAAAGTGTGTGTGTGTGTGTTTTTTTTTAACTCATGACTCTAAGAATACTAAAGACAGAACAAAATATAGGCAGACAAAGAGAGGGGGAGAATGAAAGGAGAGATGATAAAGCTTCTCTGTTTTTTAGAATGCTGGTAGTGTTAATTTCTGTGTATGACAGTTGTGGTTAGGTAGACGAAATGTTATTCTTCGGTGGTAAGTGCAGATATATTTAGATGCAGAGTATCATGACAACATCTGCACTGAACTTTCAAATGGATGAACAGAGAAAGTGTGTGTGGGGGAGGGACCGGAAATTTGCATAATGGCTATGTTTCTGGAATCCCATGTAGTCAACCGTGGTTCAAGTCCCGGACCCGGTGGCTTAAACTCACGCCGGGTGCATATGCGTGCATGCCCAAGACCCCAAGAGGGGGATGGAGGAAAAGGGATTGCAGCGTGGCCATCCCCCCAGGGGGTGATTTCTCACTTTCTGTCTCCGTCTTTCTGGCGGGTGCACGCACCCTATAGCAAAAAAAACTCTCAAAAAAAAAAAAAAAAAAAAAAAGAGAAAGTTCAGAATGTAACTGGTAATGAACCATGTAGTCGACAGCGGTTCAAGTCCCGAACGGACCCAGTGGCTTAAACTCACGCCGGGAGCATGTGCATGTGTGCCCAAGATCCTGAGAGGAGAATGGAGGAGAAGGGATTGTGGCGTGGCCATCCCCCCTGGGGGGTGATTGATTTCTCATTTTCTATCTCTCTGTCTCTCTGGCAAACGCACTTGCCCTATAACAAAAACCTCTCCAAAAAAAACAGACAGTGTGGGGGAAGGAGGCTGTAACTGTGAAGGAGCAGCACCAGGGAGACCTCTGTGCAGCTGTGAGGGCTCTGCATCCTGACTGGGGTTACCTGAACCTGCTCTTGGGCTGTCATGACACAAACCCGCATGTACACATTGTACCAATGTCGAGTTCCTGCTTTTGATACTGTACTAGTTACATCAATCCAGTGGCGAAAACCAGTGAGGGGATAAGGAACCCTCGGTACTAGCTTTACACCTTCCTCGAAATCTGAAATTATTTCAAAATAAGAAAAAAACTTAAGTGTAGATCCAGGGGTGTGTGTTTATAGAAATTATAGAGAGAAAGCAAACATAGTAACACGGTAACAATCAGAGAAGACACTGGAGGGCAATCATGCATTCACTTTCATTTTTCTATAGATTCGAAACTTTTCCAGAAGTTTAGAAATTTTAAAAAATAATAATTATCACTAAACAAATAGTTCAAGGGCAGGACCAGCAGTTAGCGTAATGGCTATGTCACTGGACTCCCACATAGTTGACTGCGGTTCGAGTCCCAGACCCGGTGGCTTAAACTCACGTCGGGCATGTGTGAGTGTGTGCCCAAGATCCAGAGAGGAGAACAGAGGAGAAGGGATTGTGGTGTGGCCATCCCCCCTGGGGGGTGAATTCTCACTTTCTGTCTCTCTGTCTCTCTCTGTCTGGCTGGCGAGTGCACATGCCCTATAGCAAAAACCTCTCCAAAAAAAAAAAAAAAAAAGTTCAAGGGCTACGAGATGGCATGGAAGTTAAGGTTCCTGGATACCACTGCATGGCTTGAGTCCTGGACCCAGTCCCTTGGAAATCATGCCTAGAGCATGTGGGCACATGCCAAAATCCTGAGAGGAGAGTGGAGAAGGGATCCTGGCATGGCCATCTCCACAGGGGAGCTGACCTCTCTCTCTCTCTCTCTCTCTCTCACACACACACACACACACACACAATCTATCTCTCTCTCTCTCCAGTGAGTGTAAGTGTCCTAGAGCATAAAAAAAAAAGGAAAGTGTCATAGAGAAAAAAAAAAAAAAAAAAAAAAAAAAAAGAGGGTGAAACTCACACCTGATCGGCGTGTGTAAAACACGAGCAGCGCTGCTGGTTAAGGTACCATCTCACGCTGTATTTCACTGGAGCCTCTCACAACGCTGTGCCATAGGCTAGACCGTCCCTATTTTACAGGTGTGGGTTTTGTCCAAGATTACTAAATGATGCAGTGGGTGAGCCCAAGCCCAAATCTCCTTCCACATGCCTGCTTTACCACTGCCTCCCTGCAGAACTGCTACTAGGAACATACAAGGGGTCTTCACAAAGTTCAGGGAAAACGCGGGTTTCAAAAAAATATGCATGGATTTCAGTGTCTTTGCACCAAAATAAACTCAAACTGTAATGCCTTTTCCCACGAATTTGAGAGTCCTACAAACAAACATCAGGAGGGCACAACGGGAACACTGCCGGCTGTCACACTCACTTTTGGTTCGTCAGATACCGGTCCCAGCCACGAATAATATTGCCATACATCTGAGTGTCTTCCAGGTAGCTTCCTTCGAAAGCATAGATCTGTCTCTCCAAGTTTGCCAGTGTTTCCTGGGAGATGGAAAACAAGGACACGGATAATGCCTTTTAACGCAAATATTAGGTTTGACCAGACTGAAATCCTGAATTCAACCTGGACACCCAAGCTTACGCCCACCAAGCCAACCGCTGGCGAGATGGCTGATAGGAGCCGCTGCTGTACAGGAGGACCTCGGCAGTCCGGACCTTTTGGGAATGATGGGCCCCTTTGTGAACACCATAGACGGTATGCAGCCTGTCCCCAGCCAAATGCACGCTCGTACAAAATTCTGCGTATATTTTCAAAGGGTTCATGGAACTCGAGTGTAAAGAACCAGCCGAGCTGAGACCGCGGACGGTTCCCATTCCCCGCACAAAAGGCATGGCTCCTGGGAGAGGAACGGGTGACCAGCCTGGCACGTCAACTCGCTCCCCTCCCCGCTGGCTCAGAAAGACCGGCGGCCCTGGGCTGCTAGTTACCATGGAAACCTGGAAGGGCAGCTTCAGGTGAGATGGCCTCCTCGGTGCCCACGCCAACACGCGGGGCGGGGAGGGCTTGGCCACCAGGGACCCTGGAACCCCAGGTGCACGCAGCGATTGCCAATTCCGTAGACTGGGCCTTCTCCACTCGCCTGTCACCTTCTAGATGTTCCCAAACACATCACATCCCTGCCCATCAAAAACCCCATCTGACGGATCTACTCCTAGCACCCAAGGGACGCGCTCCCGCCACGTTCCAAAGACCAGACCCGGGCTGGGTCCCGCCCCCCCACC